ATTTATTAAACATTTTAGTAGCATCTAAATTAACTGTTTCTTTTGCATCACCTTCATGTAAAACACATTTGCCATACAATTCTTTATTTTAGGTTTCACTAATAGTTGAATCAATATCGAATGCAGTACTTTTGCAGTTGCTTGGTGTCATTATGCTTGAATAAGATAAAGGGGTATATAATCTACTAATCTAATCTAGAATTCTACAGTTTGAAAAATACATGTTCTTTTCTTACAAAGTTTATTAAGATAAATCTAAGTTAGATGATTACATTCCGTCTAAATGTTTTCTCGCACATCAACATTATCGTTATTAACTTTTAACAAATAGATAATTTGTCAACTTGATTTAAGTTTGGGACCATTGTATTCAGTGTTCTGCGCACGCCACTGACATTGTTATTTTATTTACTAAGCTAACTAATACACACACGCATGCTTATTTCAAATTTATTTAATTAAACGCTTAAGCATAATAATTTATGCGTTTTGCCCGCGGCATGTGCCACAAATGCTACAGTGTTCTGTTCTTTTGTGTTTCATTCTTTTTCCGCTAGTCTTATTAGTGGTGATTATGTTGTTGTTGTGCATAGTATATAAAGCATAAGAAGCTATATAGAATGGTGCAGGCCAGATTTATGGCACACACATTTACGTACATATAGAGAGACAAATCATAGACTTGGGTTCAAAATGAAAACAGAAAATTAAATTTTTTGAATAATATTTCAAGAGCGTTGGTGAGAGAATCGAGCGAGAGCCGGCAAGAGAGCGACATTTATGAAAAAGTCTTGGGATTTATTTTTAGGTGACAGTTTCAAGGCTTTTGGTGAGCGAAGCAAACGTGAACGCTTTAAAGACACACGATGACGATGTTCTGTTGGTGTTATACTTTACCATTTACATATTTTCGTTGGCAATTTTTAATAAACGACGCCGCCGAGAACGTCTTGCAACATGAAAAATGTTGCCACTCTGCTGCAAATGATGTGCGCTTAGGCGTCGCGCTTCCTTTTTGGGGACAGTGGGGCAAGTGGCATACATATTTAATTGCACGAATTCGCGCAATTTGATTGCACAAATGAGCAGGTGCTTGAATGTCTGGCAGAATCACATAAAGCGCTTGATTTATAACTAAATGCGCGCACGTCTATTATCCTTTTATGTCTTGCCCTGTCCTGGCGCTGGCGCTGGTGCTGCCGCCTGTCGCCAGCCTGTCGCATTGTTGCCAGGCGAGGGTTTCGTAATGTATTTTGTATTTTCGCCATGTACATAATAAATGCCTCAGTTGTTTTTGAATTGAGATGCTCTGTTGCCTTTTATGCAAATGATGACGCCCATTTTCATTGCCATTGCCACTGCCATTGCTACTGCATTGTGATATGCGTCGTACCATGCGTCGTATACTTAATCATCTAGACATTAAGTGGCAAGCGAGAGAAATCTGCAACGTACCACTTATATAGCTCAAGGATAGCACATAACATAGTCTAAATGAATGCTGCCACATCATACAAGTATAGTATGTATGTGCCTACACGTATAGTATATGCCGAGGATTAGTTGCAATAAACTTGTTTAGACTAAAAGCTCTCTCGAGTGGATTTAGCTGTAGGAACGGCTCCAATTTAACCTCATCTAACATTTCTGGAAATTACATATTTAGAAACCATTCTTAGAAATGCATAGCGTTAACGTAATTACACTGATTATATTGGTCAAACTCTTGCCGGAATTCTTCAGGCATAAATGCTTGAAAGGTAAAAAAATCCCAGAAAATGTGTGTAGCTTGCTAATTGTTGCTGAGTGCCATTTCAGCAAATAGATTCAAAGGATGTGCATAGCAACTATCAAAAGGACAATCACTTGCAGTTGCAGAAAATTGCTGTTGGAAATGCATTTGTATTTAATTCATAAGAGAAAAGCTTTTTGTGGCATGCCTGAAAATGATGTACATATTTAATTTATTTTATTTAATTACTCCCTACTGCTTTAAGTGAAAATATTTATATATTCTCGAATGGCAGTCATAAAATATACGATTGCACTGCAACTTGATTCTGACTGCTTCTGTTGTTCAAATAGAAGCTGCAAAGTAAACTACTGGAAATTTTCTTAGTTTGGAATAATTGTTCATGCGGAAATGATTTGGTATCTTTATGTATCTTGAGTTTGTAGTTGTCGAAGGGTGTTGTCTTAAACATAAGTTTTCAGAACTTTTTTTCCTTTTTCTCTATATGTAAAAAGGATTCTTAAGCAATTTTTGAAGAAATATTCCAAGAGTAAAAAGTGTTCAAATGCATGCAGAATGAGAGAGAGAGAAAGAGAGAGAGAGGAGTGAAAGACCCCACAAAATAGCTATATTCTTGATTATTATGATAAGACAAGACCATGTAGCCATGTCTCTCTCTTTACGCCACGGATCTCTGGAAATCATTTGTGGATTGGCTATACATTTTTATACCCTGAAGCATCTCCGACCCCATAAAGAATATATATTCTGAATTCTCCTAGGTCCGAGAAAGGATGAGTTTATTTTATTTTTTTTGGAATTTTTCCCCCCTTCCCCCGCTATAGAATTTTGTCAATAGCGACTACATTTGAAATGCTACCCAAACTTTGCACACATAATTTATATATAATTATCTACTGTTGCTTAAAATTTTATCCAATTCGGTTAATTCTAAGAAAAGCTATTAGTGAAACAAATTCTCGCCAGTACAACCCCCCCAAACTATAGCAACAAGTTCGCTCTTCTTCTTCCTCTTTTTGCTGCTGCTATGGGCGCATATAACTCAGTGACGGAAGTTTACCTGGGTACAGGGTATTATACTGTCGGGCTTGCTCGACTGCAGCGTTCTCTCTTGTTTATTCAGGGAATAGAGTGTCTTTTTTTAAAAGTTAAGTCCGCTCCACTCTTGCCTTAAATTCTTATTCTCATTAAAATTATGGAGGCTACCACAAAACTTTTAAAAACATTACATTTTTTAATTAATCCCATCCCAAGTTTTATACAAGTAAGTCGGTCATGACAACATACTTTTGCTGATTGCTTTTCGATGTTTTTGTCTCGGAAAAATGTCTTGGAAAAATTTTCTAAATAAATAAACATATTCATTAAAAATTAAAGCACAATGCTTGGACTATTAAAATAAATGCATACATCCAAGTTAACGACTTTATTTTCCTAATAATTGAAATTTTTTTGTAGATGACATTTCCAATTTATTTTTGATTCCGCTGACATTTTAAGGAAACGCTTTGCATGTCAATAACGTCAATTTCAGGAATCGGAAATGTTCCTGTTATTTCTTTCTCTTAATAACATTTCGCTTGTCAAAATGAACGAATTACAAGGTTGACTTAAAAAAGTAAATCTTAAAAGAACCTTTGACACGTTCTATTTGGTACAAACATAACACAATTTTTCTTTCATATTAAAAGTAAATGAATCGACAAATCGCTCACGAAGCTATTTCCAAAAATCTTCATATTTAAAATTAAAATCGTTCGCTCTTTAAGTTGTGACTAACTTAAAATATTATTTCTAGGTATTGTAGTTAGAAAATTGCATTTGTAATACTATTACAGAAGAGGGTTTATGACATCATTAAAAAGAGTGTGATTAAAGATGATGTGTCACGAAACACATTGCTAACTCTTTTGTAAAAAACAGAAGTCGACATTACGATTTGAACTTTTTACAAAATGCACTACTTAAGTGGAAAGACACATTAAATTTACACCTTTTACCATTTGTCCAGAACTTAATGATTATTTGTATAGACAATTCGAACAAAATATTAATATTATGATTCCTAAATGGATAAAAAAAATTTGATAATTTATTTTAAAACCCTGCCAAGCAAAAAAATGTGCAATTAGAACAATTTATAAAGAAATACCTATAGGTGCAAATGTATTTACTATTTAAACATACATTTTCGAAATTTAGCAACAACTGAATGCAAAAATTCATTCCTTTCCTAATATTCAGATATTAAATTGTTTGTTTTCATTTGATGAATCTACTTATAGCTATATTATTTTTTTCATGAACAAGTTGATAAATATTTAAAAAAAATGTAATGAGCTCAAAAAAAAAAAAATATAAATAAATATAAATTTTAATATTTTGAATATTTTTTGCGAATAAAAAAAGTACATTTGTAATTTCCTATGGAGGTTGAGAAATTGAAATGCTTTAACATATCTACAACTTTAATTTTTATTGTCGCTTTCAAAATAGCGGAAAAATAATTTCAAGTAAAAAAGTAAGCAGATAGATGCCATAATATAGTATATAAAAATAAAATGTTTAAAAACGTAAAGGCTACTGCTTAAATTATTGTTTCAAATGAGCGCCTTTTGGATGCCTTTGTTTACGTGCTATAAAAAACTGATATCGTAAATAGTTGCTTGACTTTTAAGCCTCAGAGAATAATTTTCAGAAATTTCTTTGAAAATGTATATTTTTTAAGCGTGTTTTTATTTTAAGCATATTCCCTGTTTGGAAACTACGTACTTGTATATAAGCGAAGTACACAAAGGAATCAATCCACATATCAAGCATTGTTTTTCTTTATGCGATTGTTTTATAATGTAATTCTTGTTGTTTTAGGTTGGCCGACGACTGATAAAATCATTAAGAATTGCGGCCCCTGGGTGAGTATAGCTAACTATATACATATATTTCATATCAGATTTTGGCAAACTAAATACAACATTAGTATTGGTGCGAAGATGTGTGTGTGTGTGTGCGCTAACCAATTCAATATTCATTTGGCCCAAGGCTGTGGCTGCCTTCAGAATAAAGTGAAAGGCACAACAAGAACGGTAATGATAATAAAAAGACAACAACCACTTGACATTTCCGTGCCTGAAACATTTTTTATGAGACATTTGTCAAATAAAAACGTATGTGCGTACGCGCACTACATGGACATTATTATATTAATTTCGTTTTTGTTGTTGTTATTTTTTAATATTTATTTGGTTACCTTGGAAATTTAATGTAGAAAGCCTGTATGCGCAGTGTGCCTTATTCCCAGTCGTTTTAAGTCATTTGCATATTTTATATAAAATTGTCAACAATCAATGCCGCCGGCTGTTGATGCCAAGGGATGTCATTACATTTGCCTGCGGCGTCGTCGCCGCTTACAGGTAATTATCGTCGTACATACATATATACATATGTACAGTTGTATGTATACACTATATGTGTGTGTGTGTTTTAAAAGAACATTACACAAACACAAGAGCGAAGGGTAATTTGCTTTTGTAAAGGAACACAAATTTTTAACACATTTTAATTTCTCAGCAAATCTGTTGTTATTTGTTGTTTTCACTCTTTTTTGCTTTTCATTTCAGCCCATTATTTTATATTATTTTCATTTTTTTTTGTCGTTGTTTGTGGTTGTAATATTTGGCTTGTTGAGCATTTGGTTTTATGTTGAAAATTTGTCGTTGGTGATGTTTAATTTTTAAAGCAAATATTTGCTACACGCGCTCTCACATACATATATGTATTTATGTATTTATTTATAAATACATACTTATATACATATATTTATATATGTTTGTAGATACGTATGCATAGAGAAACGTAAAATATTTATTGTATTTATTTTTAAATTTATGCGCCGTTGGCTGTTGATTTTTTGCTTTATCCGCTTTGTTTCTTCATTTCATTTTCAATTTCAATTTTTCACATCAATTTTTGTTGCTGCCACACATATGCTTTAAATATAGCTTGACTTTAAATGCCTTCAGTTAAACTAAATATACGCAACTTTAATGGCCTGTTTAATTAAATTGCACTTTTCACTTTCGCACCACAAACAAACAAATAGGCAGACAGGCGTTAAAAACAAATTGAAAATTTGTGCTGTAATTGATTTTAGTATTTTGTGTCTGTTTGTTTGCTCAATGCTTGAACAGAACACATATTTCTGCCCACATCTATCTAGATATCACGTACGTTCTCACTAAATGCTCTCAGTCTCACTCTCACTTTTTCTCCTTTCTGCTCAACTTCTCTCACACTCTCTCTCTCTCTCTTTCTCTTCCTCTTTGTCGTTGGCTTGCAAGTGATATTTTGAATGCTTGGCACTTGCGTTTATTTTGAATGTATCGCGTCTTCTACGTTTTATACGTGTACCGTTATACGTACATAATAGGAACGCTTGGCACACGACCGTGTTGAACGTTGGCAGCCAACTGCGCCGCCAATGAAATTCCGTTAGTTTTTCCGGCCGTTGTCATACAATGTTGCTTCCTTGCGCTGTTGTGCAACATTGTTGCCAATGAGCATGCGCCATGTTGCCAGTACATGTGACAGCTGTTTACATTTTTTCATTCATAAAATGCTAATGGCGCCAACATTACTACGAGCACCGCACATGTTGCAAGCAGCATTGTTGCAAGCAACATTGTTGCAAGTGCTTCGAGCAGTCTGTCTGCCGTCTGTGGTGCAGTTAGTAAAAGTTTGCTGTGTAGTTTTAACTAAACGCCTTGAGACGGGCAATAAAATTGTACATTTAAAATAAAATAAAATGGCAAATACAACAACGATGTGTACGAAGCTGGCGACCCAGTTTCTCTTTCTGTTTCTGTTTCGGAAGCAGAAGCCTGCTCTGTCGTAGTGGCTGTCATTTAGATTTACGCGCCATTGCGGGCAGCCAGTCAGCCACTTTGCTATACAGTCATACAGTCATAGTCAGAGCTGTTGGATTCCTTTATCTCCGAGCAGTCTCTCTGACTTGGACAGCGGAAATGCACAACTATGAGCAACTATGTTACATCTAATGAGGTGACGTCGTCGAGGAAAGTGAAATTTACTTTATGTGCGGGTCGTTCTCCGTCTCTCGTTCATTCTTGCGAGTAGGAAATTAAATTAATTTTTGTTGTTCACTTTGTGGCATACTGGGCGCCAGCAGTTGTTGTTTGTTTTGTATCGTTCCATTTCACGCATGACACTGCTGGGTGCCAAGCCAATTCAACTTCATACTCTTATGGCTGTTAAGCCCTTATGAGCGCTCAGTTTAAAAATATATTTTATTAGAAAAACTTTAAATATTTACAAAATATTCATAATATTTGGAAAAATTCATATTTGTAAAAACTATAACTGAAAACATTGCTTTTTGCTTTTGGACATAATTCTAAGTTTTAATCACACTTTTCGCCTCTTCATCCATTCAACTAAAATAAAATGTGATGCATCAAACATTTTTATGGTAGCTATAAAATATTGTGAGCCGATTTTGAATAAATCTTAACTTTGGAACTGTTAATCTTTAGAAGAGGTGAAAGATGTTTCTGCATCTGATTGTTAAAGTATTGGCAGTCTGATAAAATATGCTTTTCTAAGGTGCGAGTACTGATGCTACAGAACTTGCAGATGTTTGTGAAAGGAATAGAAAGGTGTTTGTAGATTAGCTTTGTATGATCTTCTGAAAAGTCACGTCGAGCCCAAATGATTTTTATATATGATCGTGTTATATGAAACCATTGTTTACTAGTAATTAGGAGAAGAATGCACTCAATAAATTAAAGTAATTGAGATTAAGGTAATTGAGACATGCGGACAAAGAGACTGCGGAGCACTTCAAAATAAATAAACCAGCAGACAGAGTAACAACCTCATGCTGTTTCTCCTCTTCAGTCATCTTAGTTATTTACTAAAATAAATATTAACAAAGCAAATCATATATTCTTAATTTTCACACATTTCTAACGTTTTAATAACTTGGAGTTACTTAAATTATAATCCATTTCCTTCATTTTAAACCTTAAATATACATAAGTACTATGTACATTGAGTTTAGTCGGAACTTGAACCCATTCCCTCTTCATAGGGAAAACATATCCACTTATGCCTAACATCGTCAAAACGGTCTGAGCCACGTGTCGGGTGCAAATTCAATTGATGCCGACTTTTTCTTGACGCATTTCAATATTAATTTTGACTGCTGGTTTCTGCATTTGGGTTGTTTCTTTGATTTCGTTTGGCAGGCGCTCCAACGCCGACACGCGCTGCGTGAAAGCCATAGAAAAAGAAGTTGCCACAAAGCCAAGTGGCAATATTAAAAGTTTGGTACAAAAGCCGAGCCAAGACAGCATGTGGTTGTTTGAAGAATTGGGTGCGAGAGTCAGGATTTTGACGCCAGTTTTGAGATTTTCTTTTCTCCCACTCCCCCCTTATTTATTTTCTCTTGCCAAGTTGTCACACCAAGGGCTTCTTTGGACTTATGCACGGCCTGTTGGCGAACAAAAAAAATACATTCAATTTTTTGTTGCTTAATATTTTTTATTTCTGAGCAAACAGCTTGAAAAGTCACAGTCGGATGGCTGACAAGCGAGACAGACAGCTGCTGTGTACTTTATGGCCAACTCAACAGCAAAAACAACAGCCAACTGAAGTGTGCTTGAGTTTTATGTTTTGAGGTTTGTCAATCAACTGCATGATGTGCGAAATACGAACCAGAAGTAGGGGATGGGATGAGTAATTCCCATGTATATGCATTGAGGAAGCAGGCAGATGCTTGCCAGCAGACTTTACACTAATTTCATTAAAGTTTAACGCACACACAACAGCGCAGAAAAACTTTAGCAATATCAAGGAGCCTGCGCTCGGCCATGATGGAGTCGAGCCGCAATGGAAAAGTTACCGGAGAGGTGTTGTAGAAATTTTAAAATAATCACCTTGACATTTACACTTGGCAGCACACGAGATACAAACATACATACTAACATATATTTTGTAAATACACACAAAGTCACATCAAATGCAATTACGAGATAGCTGAAACAACAACAAGAAAACAACAGCCAAGTGGATGTTGGTTGGGATGGTGGTGGCATCGAATTTATTGGCAACTGACCACACAGCAAAAACTTAATACAGCTTCTGTGGCTTTGGTTGCCAGCGAGATTTACGGACGGCCGAGGCTATTTGTGAGCTTGGCTCTTGGGTCACCACTCACCATTCTCCGTTCACGAGCCACCAATCGGGCGTAACATGAGAGCATGATGATGTAAAATATTTGTCCCCTGACACGCGGCCACACTCACACAAGAAAAACTTCTGGCAGTTAGGGGTGCCACGATTCGATTCACGAGCACATCGTGAGTATTACTTTTTACCTTTTCGTAAGCTATACAAATGTTTTGGAATACGAATTGGAATAAAAAGGCATTTCTGCTAATTAAATTAAATTTTCAATTTTAAAAATTTCAATTTTCAATTATTCTTCAACTCAATGCTTCAAACAAATTTAAATAGCATTTTTCTTATATTTTTTCCACCTTTTCTGAAAAAAAAAAAAAACATTCACGACTCACGTCTATCCCTGCCACCCAACTGTTGGCCGCCAACTTAGTGTTGCCTCTGAAGTGCGCAGCAGAAAATCGACTTAATTCCAAATGCCGGCAATCTGAAAGATGGCGACTGCAACTGCAGCATCTGCACTTGCGACATAGCTGCACATTTAATATCGCAGTTGGGAGGGGAATATGCAAAGTTCTGTTGCAGTTATTCGACCTTTAAGTCAAATTGGTTCTGCCAAAGTCAACAGACGTCGTGGCTCGAATGACATAACTCGAGAAAGAAACTGTAAGATGCCGTAACCATTGAAACGATACACATTTGTATATGTATATACGTATATGACCATGCTGTGTGTGTGTGTGTGTGAAAATAAATAAATTCCGACTCCCAAGTGTCACAGCGACATGAATTGGCTTGGAAAGTCCAATGCAAATTTAAAATAAAACAAAATGTACTTTATTGAAGTGTCCTTATTATAGCGGCTTGTAGAGTTGTTTGGACTGTTGTGGACTGCAATTTTTTTTTTAAATTTAATTTCTATACATCATATCTTTACCGATTTTTATTAAACGTCAGACTATGGCGAGGCACTACAAAAAACCCTTCAATACTAGATTTCTTTCCACAATCGAAAGAAGCCGAAAATGCGTGCTTTGGACTGAACATTCCTATAACAGTTATATTGTATTGTGAAAAGATTTTGATAAGACTTCAAATATTTTTAA